ATATTTTATGTTTAAGTTGACATTTAAAAGTGTTAATTATTTCCTAAAATAGAAATGTGAACCTCTAGTTGAAATGTTCAAATAGGGAAACTGAGAACAGTTGGGATTGGGGTGGAGGGAGTATTATTTACTACATACACTATGCTAAATTAAACAAAAATGATTGGTTTGAATGAATTTGTTGTACCTAGCGTAAAGATGTACCGTACAAATATTTGCACAATAAACATTGTTTGTATCTGATCGCCTCCTATACACACATACATACATACATAATTAACCCATTCACATTTATATAAACATTATTATAACGATGTTTGTCTAAATTGTTTGCTTTTAAATGTCAAACGAATGTATCATCAAAATTTCAAGTCATAAATATTATTCCCTCCGTTTCATAAATTTGACCAAAACTGACTTGAACGTTAAATAATAAGTAAAAATTATGTGACTGAGTTTGTTTGGAGGAGAAAGAAATAACTCTAACCACATATTCCCTCGTAGTATTTGTTATTTTAAATGGAAATGACAAAGTGTTTTGGGATGAATAAGAAAGGAAAGTTGACCAAGTTTTATGAGACAGGGGTAGTATGATAAACTAATTCTCTTTTGAAGGGAGTATTTTAATGACCTCCATTATATTTCAAAGTTATGTAAGTGAATAGAACTAAATATTTATAGGAGGGACAAATAGTTTAAATAGAAAAAATAAGCGCTTAATTAACTCAATAAAAAACCCCAAAGTTGAACTAGTAACTATGATTCAAATTTAAGAGGGTATATTATCCTTGAAAAATTGAAATTCTAGCTCAAAGTTATGAGGCACATGAGTCTTTAATTTTATGTATCCAATGCAATGTACACATGAATTTTGATAAACTCATGCCAAAAATCCGTGTCAAGTCTGTACCAATATCGTTGTTTTTTTTGTAATGAAAATAAATAATTACTCCCTCCGTCCCGCTATGATTGTCTCATTTTACCTTTTTGGTCCGTCCCACTAAGATTGTCTCATACCTTATTTGGTAAAATTTGTGTGGTGCTAAATCATTCTTACTTTATTCTTACTTTATCAATTCAATATCAACCACATAAACTCACTTTTATTAATAACTGTGTCACCTTCTCTTATCTCAAACTTAGGGGACGGAGGTAGTACTACGGAGTATTAATGTTTATGTTGCTGTAAATGTACAACTTATACAATTTAGAAAGAAATTGAAGAAGCTTTGCTAAATTAAACGTGTCGAAAAGAGAACGTACGTAGTGCTTTCTTATTAGTACTCAATCCATAATACGACTAGACCAATGGGCTCAGTGACGATTTTGACTTTGAAACATGGTGAAGAAAATTTTGCTACTCGTTCTTTGGAATTTCGTACTTCAAGAAAGTAAGGCCATTAGTATTTTATTTGAAGTCTCTTCTACTTTTTTTATGCTTTCATTTAATCATTTCATTTAAGCAATATTGGTAATTACACTTTTATATTGCAAAGAAATTACACACGTATAGGTATCACTTAATATAAGGAATTATATAGCGTGGCTTATTTTGGTATATCTTCGATCTGGTAAAACAAAATTGGTATATTTTGATTATTTGAAGCATGTAGTGAAGTATAATGGAATAGTTTTCATTACTTTCATCACTATTATTTTTAAGTGTTTCCCATAACTCTCCTACACAAAATGTTTACATGATACATAGCAAATAACTTCTACAATGGGGATTTAGTAAGGTTACTTGCCTCAGATTTGCAAAATAGAAAAATGGAGGATTTGCAATTTTAGTCGTGTAACTTTCAATTTTACCCTTTTTTAGTCATATACTTTACTCGCTTGCAGATTGATCTTATAACTAATAAATTTGTGTAATTTAAGAACTTTTCATCGGAAAGCACACTTTTCAGTGAAAAGACATTAAATCGTGTAAGTTTATTAGTTATAAGACTAAATCTTCAAGCGAGTAAAGTTATAGGACTTCACAAGCTAAGCATAACCGATAATTACGAAATCAAAATTGCAAGTCTCTCATATTCAAATTGCCGGCAACGCTAGAAGTAGGAGTGTCACTATAACTAACTAGTCTTCCCTCCATCCCACAATAAGGTCCGCGCTTCGATTTACAGTGTTGGATTGGTAAATAAAATATACATTAAAAGTTTTATACAGTCAAAAAAACTCAAATATGATAAAAGCTAGATATATAAAGTAAAGATTAAGAACAATTTAAGTTGACTAGATGAACACTGAAGGGGAACATTATTCTAGGGCCAAGGGAGTTGTAACACCACACCTCATAGTGCATGAGGTAGCTACTTATGAATGTCATTCAGACCTCTAGTATTGTCCTCACAAGCCTTAAACATGCACTTTGTCCTCACTCGTGCCTACCATGAGAAACTTGGTCACCCATCCCAAGACTATTCTCGTGCAAGCACGTTTAACTTGGAGTTCTTAGCTGATAAGCTCCCGTAAAAGGAGATGCACCTTGTTAGTATGAGTAGTACTATTAATCTCTTTAAATTAATCTCAAGTATTACAATCACCCCCACTTAGGAACGCAATGTTCTCGTTGCGCACATAAACCAATCTCAATCAAACTCCAGAATCCTCCCCTGCTAAAAGTCCACCCAATATCCAATGGATTAGCACCCTGTCGCATGGTTGCTCTAATCCCACTTGTAACACCCCACCCCATAGGGCCCAAGATAGCTACTTCTGAATGTCATCCGGACCTCTAGTATTGTCCTCACAAACTAACACAAGTCTTAAACGCACACTTTATCCTCACTCGTATGCGCCCTGAAAACTTTCCAGGGAATCACCCATTTGAAGACTACTCTCGTGCCAGCACGTTTAACTTGGAGTTCTTAACTGATAAGCTTCCTTAAAAGGAGATGCAGTACTATTAATCCCTTTAAATTAATCTTAAGTATTACGGTAGTAGTATAGGTGAACTGAACAACTGTATTGTTTGTATATGCTCCAACATACTACACTTACAAACAACGTGAAATAGCATACTCCAGGAAAATTAATTTCCACTTTCCACCCAGGTTAAAATAATCATGCTTTGACTGTTTTTCAAAATTAACTTCCCATTTCGGATTACGATACTTGACTGACTATAAAGCAACTTGATCTTTGCTCACACAGTCACACTCAAATTACTTTTAGTAAATAAAGTTTACATATTCGAAACTACATTAAACCGCTACAAAGTCTGATAAAAAATGTAAATTTGATAAAAGTTTGATAAGTAAACGATTAAGATTAATTTAAATTGACCATGTGAATAGTGAATGAGAAATTAATTTTGGGACGGAGGGAGTAATTAAAAAGCATGTTAAGGGACAATTTACAGTGGTCTCGAGTTCAATACATCTTCAGCCCTGCCCTTTGGTAATGGGACGACCCGCCCAGTGGTCTCGAGTTCAAATCAAGGTGAATCCAGAAATTAAATTTTGAACAAGTAAAGTTGGAATGAGTTAAAGAGTGAGCATATTAGACTTAAAAATTGTCATGCACTAAATAAGAAAAATGAAAAGCTTTTACACTAAGCTTAAAAGGGGGCTTTAGTCAAACACAACAGTAGGAGTTCTATCCAATGTTGTGACTTCTTGTGCATCCTATGTATCAGGCCTTTTTTTTTATAAACTATGCTTGATCATACTTGATTATTTACCCGCCCGCTACTCGATCTATGGGGACGCCAGGGTGTGGCAATTCCACGGATGATCCAAATCAATGTCATCATGCATGCCGCAGTCAACGAGAAACAAGCCGACATGCTCACGCAAACACAGAAATATATATAGAACTAGGAACACCTCAATACCTCATGCACATGGTGAAGATAACAACATCACTCTCTTCTTTCAAACCTACATACGTTTTGGTCAAAACAGGAAGTTGCCAGCAAACATTTTTACAATTTAAAGATTTTGGTCGTTTTTCTGCTTTATATATATAGCTGAGTTTTTTATGTCATGTTCCAACCAACATCACCCAGTTCCAACATCACCAAGCTGTCAGTTTCCATGAAATTACTAAAAATAGCACTGATGAGGACAGCAACATAAATGCCCGCAAATATAGTCCAAACTACATTTCTTTCAACTAGTAGCAATGTACAGTCAAATATAAAGATCCAGTTTGGATTTGTCTGGTTTCCAAATTTGATTAATATGTTACTTAGGATTACATAAAATTACATTTGGAATGGTGTCAACATGGAATTTTTCAAATTCAAGCGTGTGCTTAGCTAATTCCCTGGAATATGTAAGAGAGACGCAAGACTTCAAAGCCAATCCATATGAGACGTTAGATGTGTATTATTATACTACTACACCTTGCTTGGTAGCATCATAAAACAGAAACAGTCATCGTTAAAACTGTTCATTTATGTTAAAACTGAAAAATTGTTGATAGTCAAAGTTGTGTATTGCAAATCGTGAAGTCAAAATGATACCATTAAAAAAGAACGGATGAAGTATATCATAGTGTTAATAGTTGACTAAAAATACAATGCATAATATAAACAGACTTGGACATAAACCAAACGGTTCAGGTAGCATATACAATTCTGATTTTGATTACCGCTTCCGATCTTTAAAACTCAGTTTTAGTCCAGTCCAGTTACAGAATCATGTCGACCCACTCTACCTAGTACCTAGTAAGCAACAAAACTTGCTCCCAGTAATTATCCTCATCAAATACAAGCATGCACCTTAGGTGCATAGGATCCAATCAGGACTGTCCATATATTAACTTACCCATGGAGATGCTATAGAAGATCCGGATCTTATAGTAACACCACACCAACAATGTACAAATAAAAAATCCAATGAGTAGTAGAATTGCATGAACATTAGTAGTATTGGTTTGAACTATTGTTGTTTGAACAACAATTTCTTTCAAGTTTTTAGAGTGGTGTGAGGAAAATATTCAATGGATGCTATTATGATGACAAAATACCCTTTAGAGTTATCTTTCGCCGCTTTTCAAAGGGTGATTTTGGCATTCTTTCGATTATTATTCAGCTTTCTCTTCACATCCTTACTCTATAAACACCAGTCCATTACAGAAAGATACATTGTTGATGTGGCATGAAAGTAGAGAGTAATGAATACTCCGTTGGAAATTCATCTTGATGAAATTAAGTGTTAGATTCCATATCTTACAAAGGCCACCACTAAGACAGTATTTTGACGAAATCAAATCTCCAATCAGCCCCAAAATGAGATTTGACCGGTTCAGGCGAACCATACAACCAACCAGGCTTTTATACCAAAAAGGTAGAGTTACTAAGTGGCAGAACATCCAAAAAAATGTAGGATTTCAGAAAGCCCTACAAATATGAACAAATTCACCGTTTTCCCCTCTTGTACTGAAACCTCACCTTCACTAGGAACTGAAGCTTTACCTGAACGAATAAAAATGACAGTTCGTAAGAGTCCACCCTAAGTCATGTCTCAACACGTGTTTTTGCCAAAAAAAGTTGCAGGCAAGTTAGATATGAAAAAATTATTGTCATCAACAAATATATTTTAAAAATATAAGAATGATTTTCACGACTCTTGGGGGTGTCTGGTTTGGGTAATCTGAGATTACCTTGGTAAATAATATTAGGGATATTATGCCAAGTCACCTTGTTTATTTAAAGATTATATATTGAGAAAATTCTTTGAATAAGAGTAAATCATATTATTCTTCCTCAAATAGGAGTGTCATTGCTTTTCTTCCCAAAATATGATTCATTCACTCCTACTTTGGGAAGTTTTAATTGTTCTATTCTTTTAATAGGACTAAATAAGTCTTATTCTAGGAATATACAACACCAAGTCCTATTTTTGAACTGTCTTCATGTTTTACTCTTAATTTTGAATTTCTTTAATATATTCAGATGAAGTATTGCGTGATTTCTTATAAAGTTCAGATTTTCCTTAAGGAAAATGAGGTTACTTTGGGGGTAATTTGATTACCTTATGTTTCTAAGCTATTGTAAGATCACCATGGTAATATCCATTGGACTCCTTAGTAGGCATTGATTTGAATTTTGAAATAGATTGATATTACATTTTAAGAAAGAGGAAAGTAGGGCACATAAAATAGGACAGAGGAAGTATTTCATTTATTCATTCACATTATCTCAAATTGCCTTCCCAAAGGTAACCATATCGCTAAGATAATCATTCACTCCATCAACGAAACGCCCTCTCAACGAAACGCCCTCTCAAATTACCTTGGGAAGATTTGAAAGTTCTACCTTGAACAAACAAGACATTTTTTGGGGATGGAGAGTAATTTATACACGCATATCATATTAGAAAAACTTACCTGGGCAGTATCATAGACAATATATTCATTGTATAAAAGCCCCGACCCTTTGACTTTTGATGGCACCGGCTTTCCACAAGGTACAACTACTTCATCCCTCCATTTGACATATTCCGATGCTTGAGGAACTGTCATGCCCAGACCTTTAGTAGAGTTTTTTCCTTTTGGGGGCTTGTCCATGTACTAGATTACATCCAATAAAATATAGATGAGCTGAAAAACTAAAGAATCAATACGCCACTGTAAGGGCAAGAAAAGTTACAGTTGAGATGTACCTGAGCCTGCTTTAGCTCAAACATATCTCCCAAAGCAACTTCACTGAGAAGCATAAAACCCACTGGATTTTTCTGGTTAGTGTAACAATACTGAGCACTCTTACTTACCATGTCGGCAAAGTAAATTCCTTTTCCGAACTGCATGTCAGCAAATTCTCAAAAGGATTAGTGCATGGCCCAAACTATCTACTTTTTTAGGTATGTAAATGGAGAAATGGAAACAGATAGAGTGTATGAAAGACAAAGAACAGAGAGAATGGAAGCAGACCATATAGCCAGTAGTTGGAGCTTCAGGAGGAGCAACTCTTAGTCCTTGGCTGAGTATACCAACAAAATTTGTCAACCGTGAACCTGAAAGAAAAATAAGTTTCATGTCAGTGTGTCTCATTTAATTTCTATTTAACATCTGAGACTTGAAATGTATAATTTAGAGATATTTGACAAGTACCATGCCATAAAAGCATTTTGTTCTTTAATTTCTTTCTCAATGGAGCAAACTTGTCAAATTCCCCCTTCCGATCAAGAGAAAACACTTCTTCCACTTCGAGAGACCAGTCCTGAGGATTTTTTTTAGATTTCAGATATACTTTTTCCCGCCTCAATATGGAGGAACACAAAAAGAATCATGAATAATTTCAACAGCACAATATGTTCTTTTTCTGATCATCTACATCAAAATTATAACAATGGAATGGACAAGGTTCAACAGAACTTTATCATGACAGAAAAAGATACTGCATTGGTAAATAAAAAACAAAAGAAAAATAGGCCAGTACATACTATTAAAAAAAGACTAGAGAAAGGAAATGCAAAGCATCTAAAGCAACCTTATGAGTGGGAGCATGAGTAGATTGGAGATACTTCTCGACCAACCGGTAATCTTCACAGTCATGAGGAATAGGAGATATTTGACACTGTAGTTTTTCATACTTCTCATCCAGGGAAGAATCATTATCATTGCCACCTAGTCCTACGAGTTTGGAGGCAATCTCAATATCTTGAAGAGCTTCCAGCATTTTCACCTACAAAAGAATAAATAAATATGAGTGACTTGGATCAGATATAAGCAAAAGATGTGATAGGCGGGCGAAATCTGCTCTAAATTTGTCACAGATTTACAAGTTGTAGTATCTCACTGTGAAACTATCCAGTAATCCGACAAAACTAATTGGTTTCAAGAATCAAGATTGAATGTTTTTGACTTCTTGTAACAAACAAAGAAAGTGCAATAGTTTTAGCCAATTTAGAAACAAAATCAGAACAAAAAGATGTATTTCATAAAATCCTAAAAGGGTATTTTAATCTCAGATGTACATGCATGAGGCATTTGATGGCAAGCACCAGACTGATAGCCTAACCTTTGATTTGAAGTCATCCTCATCCTTAATCACATGTGGATGAATAGAAGGAATCATGGTAAAGAAACGGTTGCTGGCATCAATAATGAGGCTCTCTTTGAAAGAAGGGTCAACATTACTTTTCATTAGCAAATTTTGAATCTCCGTTAATGCCTCAAAACCTAAAGACAACATAAAAACCCCACTATAAATCAGGACTTCCACCAAGCAAAGTGGTAGGTTGAAGTAAAAAATAAAAGAATATACAAAAAGTAAAGTTAAGAAGATTTCTATCAAGTACATATGGAAAAAAGTACGTCAGAAGTACAACTATTTAACCTTTCTGTATGTTACTCTTGCTCAGCTTTCCTAGAGGCATTTCAGACAAATTGATCTGGAATTCCATCATAGCATCCCTGTAAGCATATATTACACTCAGATGCATTTTCTCTAAGCTAGGAAACTAAAGTACTCTTCTAGACTTCAAACCTGTATGTCTCTACATTAAAAAGCAACTTCAACAGTTCAATCAGTTGAGGTGCCAGTTTGCTACTTGTGTAGTCGATATTTTTTTGCTTTGAGGCACTCTTATCAACTCCATAATCCTACATAGTACATAATCAGAATTACTCAATAAAATTTGAGGGTATCGAGAAAATTCACTGCGCATTTTAAAGCGAAAGTCAAAATGGAAAATACATACAATGTCTAATGGATAAAATCTGCCAGGTTTCTTGTGAAAATCTACTTTACTTTCCCATGCTTCCCATGTATTGCCAGTCTTCTCAAGAAACAAGCGCTTGAAATCTAGTATAGCATCTGACTTAGACATGTTGTCAAGTTTGATTCCTCCAATTTTTTCATTTCCAACTCGACCCCATTTTCTGAACACATAGCAATCCGACCCTTTGTCTTCCTCAATGATTTGTAGAATATAGTAACTTCAAACAGAAACAACACAAATGTAAACAGTAGAAATGTGATAAAGATCTGAGAATTCAGCATCGGAGTACTAATAGTAATTATATTAAATATTACGGAGTATGAGAAAGCGTACAAAAGAAGAGGAAAAAGGCATGTTAAGTAGAGTACCTTTTAAGTTTTAACAAACTTAAAAATTTCGAAATATAAGTATTATTAAGTAGTACAGAAAGACTAAATCACTGGCTAGCAGAGAGCCAAAGAAGAATGTTTGAGAATAGGTGATAAGATGAACAGATGCTACTCCCAACTTCCGGATTCGCTCTAACATTGGCACATAGTTTAAGAGTGGTTGTGGTGGGTGGGCTATGGAGAAGAACGAGAGTAAAAAGTGAGGGGAAAATTAAAAAGTAGTAGTGGGTGGGTGTAGAGGAGAGAAATTGAAAAGGGGAAGAAATTCGTTTATAAGCTGACCCCTTTGAAAAAAAGAAATAGGAATACTATTGAGGGTCAACCCATAAAGGAAACTGGGAACACTCATGAAACAGGTAGCATTCACTTTTAACTGCAATAAATCTAATCTAATTATATAGCAAATAACAGAATTTGCCTTCTAGGCTATAAAAAAATGATGGATCACAAAAACTTGTGCTAGTCCTAGAGAAGTTGTTAATTAGTAAGCACTTATATAGTTATACACAACAATGATAAAATCTAGGAATTGGCTTGTAAAGCATGCATGGCGAAGGAAGTTTTTAGTACAAAGTACAAACCATAGTCCGGAACTAGAATTACCTATTGATACCAGTTGTGAGGTCAGATATATTTAAAGTTGTATTATAAATGCTATTCGCATCCTCAAGGATGTGTCCAGAGTCTTGTAAACCAGACGACTCATGTACTGCACTTCTACCTTTCACTTTGACTGTAGCCACACCATGTGATTCTCCAATTGCCTCCACTTTGTACAAATCAAAAGGAAGTTTTTTATTCCTTTTGAAACAGTCCACTAAATAATCCTCCCTAACAATTGGTATTTTCATCCTCCTGTCAAAGAGGAAGTATAAATATTGAATATAACAGATAAGAAAGTAGGCTTTGGTCAATAATAAAAAGAAGCTTTACCTTGCCTTCTTTACCTCAGCATCACTGCTGTCCAGCATCCCACTCACAACTAAGCAGCTTGTGTCTAGTAGAAGCACAGGAGAAGGATTTTCTTATAAATAACTGGAAAAAGATTTTTAATAGAAAAAATGAGTGTATACCTTTTTTTATCTTGGCGTGAACCAGAGCACTTGCTTCCTCAACTTTTTTCTTCCACTCTGCCTGCAAAAAGCACAGAAGAAAACTTAGAGATGGAATTCTTCAAATGGTGATATAGATTTAAAGAAACCCCTCTAAATCAGAAAAGACATTATTGAATAAAAAGGAAGTACTTGAAAATTACTAACCATAGAATCACTACAAACTCCAGCAAAAGCTACTTTTAGATCTCCTACACTATCGCCTTTCAGTGACTGACCCATTTCGCTGGCAGCTTTGCTGGTAGATGGAGAGGTGTACGAAGAAGGGGGCATAATTCTAGCTGTCTTCTTTGCCTTTTGTGACTTATACCACTGAGAATCATCAAAGAAACTTTAAGGAAACATCAAACAAAAAGTAGAAGACAATAAACTTTGGACCAAACATTAGCAGCGAGAAGCATTAAATTATCTACATTTTTAACTTTATTTTTGTACTCCCTACGTCCCTAAATTATCTTCCATAATGGGTTTTACACGGGAAATAAGAAAGAGGGAATTATGTGGTGAAGAGTTGTGCAGAGGAGAGAGAAATGTATAAGAATGTGTAAGAAATGCTGGTGAACCACAAATTCTTTGCCAAAAAGGGAAAGAGGAGATTATTTTGGGACGGACGTCAAAAGGAAACTCGAAAGATAATTCAGGGACGGAGGAGTATTTCTTAAGTCAAATACCTTGAGTAGATACTCGTTACTGGTCCCTTCAGGGATTTTCCACTTCCCATTGACGCGTTTAGGTTCAGTGGTAGAGTATGAGCACTTGGTCCATGCTGACAAAAAGCCATGGCACTTATACTTGCCTTCTGAATAATATAGGTGACCAGAACAAAGAGGACATCTAGTGAGTGCTCCAAAAAGCATCCCATCAGCACTGAAAGGAGAAGATATCAATTAAATTAAAAATATAAGAGTAGAGGAAATATGTATAAGCAGACCACGCCTCAGTAGAAGCAATCAAGCAATTATGCAATTCAACAAAAAAGCTGCCCAAAAGGCCAAACTATAAGCAAAAAACTTACACTAACAAACATTTACAATGAAATGTTATCCACCTATCTATAAGTTCTTTTATATACTCTCTCTGTCCCTAAATAATCTTCCAAATTGCTTTTTCATGTGGATTAAGAAAATGGGAATTGACTGGTGGAGAGTTGTGCATATGAGAGAGAAAACATGAAGAAATGTTGTGGACCACAAATCCTTTGCCAGAAAAGGAAAGAGGAGATTATTTTGGGATGGATGAAAAAGGAAAGTTGGAAGATTAATATGGGACAGAGGGGTAACCAATTTCTAGCAGCATAGTCGTGAGCAGGAAGCACTGAAAACACTTATTAAAGTAGATATTGAAAAACTGTACATGCATCATAAGTTAAGGGTTCAAACTTTAGATTATCTAATAAGCATGTCTAATAAACTACCATCGATCTCGTAAATCAAGTTCCGATCCTGTGGAAACATGGTCATTGCATTCAAGCATCTCACGCAGTTCTGATGTACTCACGTGCTTCCTCAACTCATCCTTTATAGCCCACAGAGATTTACTCTGTGCCTCGAGTTGTCTTTCGAATTCCAAGCTTTTTTTCTCAACATCACTTGCAAAAGCATCGGGCTCAGTTTTAGCAAGTTTTGATTTCTGATTACTATTACTGCACTGTTTCCTCTTGTCACCCGCTGTAGATGTGGGTTCTAGTAAATGTTCCTCTTTTGCAACTGCTCTTTGGCCAGAACATAGAATAAGCACACTAAGAGAGAAAATAATGAAACAGGATAAGGACAAAGGAATTTCAAAGCACCTTTTACAGTAGAGTTCTGAAACAGTGATCTCACAACTGCCTGATCACTAGCTGGAAGGATATCCCATCCGGACAAATTTTCAACTTGGGTAGCAGAGGATATTTCCATGAAACATTTAGCATGGTGCCATGCCAAAGACCTGGCTCCCTGACCTTTAGCCTTTGATGATATACGGACCTATTCCACAAATAAAGACATAAAAAAACAATTAATCACCTTTCAAGGATGTTTTCTTTTGGACTGAAATTTGTTTGTCTGGTCTGGTCTGATCTGGTCTGAACTGATGTAAACGTCTGGTCTCTGTGTATTTTATAACTACAGAAGTCTGGTCTAGTCTGGGACTGAAAACAGTCCAAAAGAAAACATACTAAATTGGTTGAAGCTTCTACTTAGATGATCATCAATGATGATTGCTTAATTGAAACATTTGTTTTGGAGTAATTAATCTGCATTTTCTGGTAGGGGGTGTAAAAATATATTAATTTGACAGTAAACCTTCAAAATAGTAAGAAAATAAAAAATATGCCTCGGAAGAATTTACTTATGAGCAAATGACCTTAAGAAAATGAAAATTCGGTAATTGAATACAAAAACTGAATGCTCAGTAAGGAACACATCTATAACTCCCAAAAATGTAGAATGTACTCCATCACTGAATATAAAAACTGACCTCTCCTTTCATAATCTTCTCGTTGCAGTTCTTACAGGTAGCACGAGAAGTTTGAGAGGTTTCAACACCATGTTCCATTGCAAGTGGAGTAGGGGGGGCACTTGAGGACACACCACTCTCTACATATTTCCTTATCGTTTCTTGGTCTTCCCAACGGAGTGACTCTAAGCCTTCAACTTCATCAGCGCTAACAATAGAATAAAGAGAATCAAATGTAAATTACTAAACAATGTAAAAATGAACTACTTGTTCTACTATATTTCTATTACAAAACACTGAGCTTGAAGTATGGAGCTGAACACATACGCTTTTATCTGCTTTGCCTTTCGTAAGATACAGCTAGCATGATTCCACATCTAACTCCAGACATACAAACAAATTATTAAATTCAAAGTAGAAAGAAAATGAAATACATCAGTTAAAAAACATTCCCAAATGTAACTAATGAGTTAGTCCTCATAAAGAAAGGCTATTGGACAGAAGCAATAGTCATTGAAAAACTATTAGCTTTGGGAACTTAGTTTGTCCCTGCTATTATGCTAGGGTATAACATCTCCAGGAACAACCTGTACAATATACATGCATATAGAGAGAGAGCAGTGAGGTTAGTGTTTGATTCCTACTTCGTGATATTGATGAATAAAGTGAAACTATCGTTTCCTAGTAAAACTAGAATTCCAATATACTCCATACTCACATAATTCAAGGGTGCAACGTTATCAAGTTCCTCAATTAGCAACGATAACATATATGTAGGTAATGTAGCCAAAGGAGGTGTTGATATTCATAACAGGAATAAAGTAACCAAACACATAGCCAAATTCACTTCGCATGGAAAAAACAACAACGTTGAGGAATTCTTAACAAGTATGAAGCAATGGGCAAACGGGTCGTGCTTACAGGCATCATGCCATCAAATTGGGTGGCTTGGACCATCTTTCCGAGCCTCAGAACCTCTTTGTTAATGGGGCTCTTGCAGGTTTTGCATGAGGATCGAGATGACTTGGCGTACTCCGCCTTCCATGGCTTCAGAGGGTTCGCCATTTGTATATCACTGGCTTCCTCTGCTACTTACGGCATTCGTTAAAGGTCTTACGACTATATACGGCCCGGCAGTGCGGGAGAACACGAGACCGGAGGCGAGAGTGAAAGAGTGGGGAGGCGGTGCACTAAGCTACAACGTACCAACCACACTTCCCTCCGGGTCGGGCCAATTAGTTAAACGAATTTAAAAAACGTGAAATAAAATACTGCAGTAAAATTTTACAGGAAAAAGGACAAATAAGCACTCGAACTAATCGAAAAAGTACAAATCACCCCCTTTTATAAGAGACTATGATGTCCGGTCGTCTCCATTTGAGGCGGTTCCCGGTAGATTTCTTTAATGAATTTTTTTGATCATCTTCTTCATTAAGTCTAGTTTACACATATCAAATTTCAGCTAAAAATGCAATCTTAAAGGCAGCCAAATAAATGTTTGAAGATAACTGTGCAGTTAAATAGCGCATTATATTTCAGAAAATCATTTGACTGCCTTCCCGATTGAATTTTTACTTAAATATGGGAAGTATAAACTAGGCTTAATGAAAAAGATGCTCAAAAAAATTCATCAAAAAATTTCACCGGTAACCACCCCAAATAGCGACGGCCAGACAGAACCTCCTATAAAAGTGATGATTTGCACTTTTTCGGTTAGTTCGAGGGCTTATTTGCACTTTTTCCCAAGTTTATAAAAATATGATTTTTATGTCAGAGTAACATTTAGATATTTATTTATTTTTGAAAGAGAGTAACATTAGATATAGTAACCTTCATTTGTAATAACTTTTAGTTATTTTTTTATAAAAAGTTTAGTTTCAATAATATTTTTAAAATCATTTTTTTGGAATAAAACTAGTTAATTATTATTAATAAACAAAATCATGATCCAAAGATGTCATAATACAAGAAGGGTAATAATAAGGTTAAATACAGCGATTAGACATAGAAACGACAACTCTTGCAAGGTCATGAGCTACCCGATTCGCAAAGCGCTACATGAAAAATGAAATACTAGTAAAACTAGAATCGTATATTTTCAATAATCAGCCCCGATAACAAGTCGTTTGTACCAAAATTAATGCTTGTAACAATTTGAAGAATGTCTTAAAACCATTTTAAAACATTGTATTTTAACATATTTCTACGTTAGAATTTACAAATGCATATGTGTTGTGTTTACGTATATGCATACATGATCTCAAGCCTTGTGGTGCACACACATCTATAATATACTCTCTCTATTCTATTAAAGTCAGCCACCTTTAAGTTTCACGTAAAATAATAGAGTAAAATTGTGGGGTTGATGGAGGGAGAAATAGTGCAACAGTAACAACAATTTTTTTTTAAACTGTACCAACAATTTTTTTTTTAAACTGTAACAACAAATTTTTGAACCAAAAATTTATGACTAAAAAGTCAAATAGGTACATGAACTAACTTAAAGCGTTCAATTAGCTCCTTATTTAGGAAGTTCTGTCCGGCCGTCGCTAATTGGGGCGGTTCCCGGTGGAATTTTTTGATGAAATATTTTAAGCATCTTCTTCATTAAGTCTAGTTTACTCATATCAAATTTCAGCTAAAAATTAAATTGAGAAGACAGTCAAATAATTTTCCGAAATGTACTGCGCTGTTTAACTGCGCAGTTATCTTCAAAAACTCATTTGACTGCCTTCACAGTTGAATTTTTAGCTGCAATTTGGTATGAATAAACTAGACTTAATGAAGAAGATGTTCAAAAAATTTCATCAAAAAATTCCATCGGGAACCACCCCAATTAGCGACGGCCGGACAGAACTTCCTAAATAAGGAGCTAATTGAACACTTTAAGTTAGTTCATGTACCTATTTGACCATTTAGCCAAAATTTATTATTTTGAAAGGAAATGTTAGGCTTTTTTTATGGTCAAATAAGGAAAGTTGACAAACTTTTTTAAGATGAAATTAATTCCTCACATCATTCTCAATTATACTTGTCAACGGAAACGCTTAACACGCCAGTTCGTATGTACAAGGGGATCCATATATATATATATATATACACACACACACATGTGTGTATATATATATATATATATACACACACACACATATATATAATAAGGATCAAATGAGAAGAGTGTTTATCGTAAGAAGTGAGAATGCATCTGGTGCGTTCAATTTAAAATCTGTGCATTAGATTAGCAAAAAAGTGCACGAAAAAGTGCAAAAAATATTAAAAAAGTGATGCTAGACGCGGTGACATTTCCGTAATTAATCGAAACTTTTCTGTCATCACAAAAAGTGCATCAGATTAGCAAAAAAGTGCATCAGAAATAAGTAAATGTGTAACTTCTCACTTCTCACGTTAAGATGTCTTCTCATTAGAACCCAACTATATATATGTATATATATATGTGTGTGTATGTGTGTGTGTGTGTATAGTAGTGTTCCGGTTAGGCCTTCTTGACTGGAACCGCCGTCCGATGGCTTTTGGGGCCCTTCCTGGTGGCTTTTTTTGATGATTTTTTTACGGCATGTTCTTCATCAAGTCTAGTTTATCCACACAAAAAAAATCAGCTAAAAACTCAATCCGGAAGATCGTCAAATGGTTTTTTGAAGTTAAAAGCGCAAAAAATACATATAAAACGCAGTTAATTTCCAAAAATCATTTGACGACCTTCCGTATAGAGTTTTTAGCTGATTTTTTTGTGGATAAACTAGACTTGATGAAGAACATTCCATAAAAAATTTCTAAAAAAAACATCGGGAAGGGCCCCAAAAGCCGTCGGCCGGACGGCAATTCTGGTTCAGAATTCCGGACCTGAACATTTGTCTATATATCTATATTGTTAGGAATATTTTATGGTGTCCAATCTAATTAAATATCTTTGTATTTGTGTAGTTATTAATTAAACGTGTAATACGGGCCATTAATGTGTATCAGCCCGGGGGCTTCCTTGTAACCCGTAAGTTAGCTAACTTCTCCTATAAAAGGAGGCTAACTTACGGGAACCCTAACGATCGAAAGAGGCTTTAGAGACGCAGAGTCGAGATAGAGAAAGTAGGATTTCCGCTGTTCTCCTTCTCCAGGGAGAGCAGCGGGGTTTCATACGGTATACCAGATTCGGTTCATCTTCTCGATATCTTTCTATCTACTTCTTTATCACTGCTATGGTTGTTTGATTGTTTAGTATTCTGGGATTATCAATTGGTATCAGAGCCGAGCCTTGGTATCAGAGAGAAAACGAAGAAAGTAATGAGAGAACATGCTCCTATGGCTTAGTAAACCCAACTAAGCCTACCCAAGGGACAAAGCCGAGCGTAAGTGAGTGAGTGAGCAAGTGAGTGAGTGAAAATTATGAGCATTAGGAAGCAGAAGGCTCAAGTGAGAAGGAAAACAATAATCAATGATGAGTCTGCTACCTCAACTGCCTGCTATGAATTAAACATTTACTCCTAGCCACTCAAATACTCTGGACAATCCCCATAGGTTCAGGACTAATTTAATCAGATCCCGGGTAGAAGTCACTGCATCTTGTCCAACAGTGCATGTTTAACTCTACCCAAGACCACTCACTTGTCTCCCAACAGACAGGTGTTTAATCATATTTCACGGGGAACCGCATCTCTCATTACTGTCTCCTTCCGAGACAAATAATACTGACTAAAGTGGCCTCAGCCCCATGCCACTGAACTTTCATTGATCACGTCGTGTCTAGTTACTCACTCCCAAATGTTTTGAAATTTTCTAGGACACGGACGCACTTTTTGAGTCAGTTGCAGGTCTACATGACCCGCGAGAACTTTCATAGGGCTCATCTATCACAGATGTAGACCAATGATTGGAAGGAAGTCCTGCTGATGCAACATAAGAATCACCAACATTTTCAGGCCATTACTTTAGAGTTTGTCTCTATAGTGATGAAAACGGGTGTCTACACGACCCCGGGGGGCTTTTATCATTTACTCTTTCTGTTTGTTTCCTGTTTTATTTCCGCAGAATAAAAGAATAAAAGCATGACGTCCTGATTCATCGGATCGTCATGAGGGGGAGAGTGTTCCACATGCTGTTAAATGTCAAAAAATCATTCTCGGACACTTCTCTCTTCCATCACTCTCTCTACTATCTCTGCATCTCAAATGGTCAGCTACACTCATAAGTCAACCATCATTTTCCGCTGCGCCACCGACAAGTTCTCCTCAAATGCATCCATTCCAAATAGTCAAAAAGACTACATTGTGGAGGAGACAAAGGTCAGATAATCAAACTCTGAAGATGAATTCCATGGGCGTCTGAAACTCATCAGAACTATCATTCTAGAGGTGCCACCGGACTTCATCCAAGCTTATCAAGAGCTACTTCTGGAAGGCAAGGTTTTCAAGAAAAAGATTCCTGAACCCCCGACATCAAAGATTAATTCGCTAAGAAAACATCAAAGGGGAGATTGCGAGGATTTCTTCATGAAGCCTTCTCAAGAAGTCAAGTTCAAATGAAAAGGAAGCTGAATAACAACAAAGACAAAGATATCTGCGCTGCAATGCTGATTCAACACGATTGAACACTATTGAAGACTATTTATTGTGAATCAAGTTTGTCTGTCTTGTCTGTAATAAGTTAGATGTTTGCTATTTCTATTCTGTACTGATTAAATATATCTGTTAGAATAGTATGCAATATGGGCCAAGTGTTAGGCCCATACACAGGCGAGAAGCCTTTGTACGCATACCTGAGCCTCGCCTATAAAAGAGGGAGGAGGACTCAGGTTTGCGGTTAACTTTCGTATCTGCTCAAAATAGCCTTAGCGCTTATCATTCTTGTACGAAAGGTTCACGGTATATCAGAGAAGGTTTACACTTGATCTTTCTGTGTTCATCTTTGTTGTTAATCTTTCATCTGTATGCCATATTATACTGTTGTTATAGAAAACAGGGATCAACAAATGGTATCAGAGCCGATCGAGAGCTGATCAGAAGAACTATCTGTGAAAGACTCTGTTTTTTTTGTAGAATAGCGAGTTTATCATCTGTAATCTTTTTTCTGCACCAAATACTGTAAAAGTTATACTGTTAGAATCGCGTTTCAAAGACGATCAAGCAGTATATCTTCCTTTTTCGTTTCCGCATCTTTTCATTCTCTGTAAACTCGCACCCATAAACTCGCACC